TTTATTTATTTCTTGTAAACTGTACATAAAACTGTAGGTTTTGTTCTTTTATTCAACAATTGTTTATGTATATATTCATTTGAAACGGTGTTTCAATTTTTAAAAAATTATATAATTTAAAATGGCGTGCGAGTTTTAATTTAGTCGACATGTATAATTTTAGTAGTATTTGTTCAAGAGCGATTAATCAAATCTCTGGATACTGTTTCAATTATAAATTCATTATAGTTTGCTTTGTTCTCATTCAACTTTGTCAACTTTCTGCTTTTCTGGTCAAATACCTTCTCAAATTCAATAATGGACATGCTTTTTCTTTTCTTCTTTTGGGGTCATACTGTCATAACATGTCCATCGCTTTTTATTTTTTTCTAATTAGTATTTAAGTCCTGCTTTAATTTAGTCTTCGTTTTTGGGGTCAACAAACAACTGTTTTTAATTAGTTTGGATATCGGGATCTATGGAAAGTTCCTGAAATGTTATATAAGCCCAAACCCATAAGGTTACGATCCAAATTTTGTTGGGTCTTCTCCAATCTGAAGTTGCTCCTATACTGGGCTCGCGTGACATTGATATGAGCCCTGCGAAACAGTAAGGTTAATTATCACGAATAAATCAATTGTAGACCAAGTAACAAATAAAGAGTTTCAATTCCATGAAAGAAACCATCAAAGAATAACAAAAAAATGAAAGAAAATACTTCAGTAGTTTTATTGTTCTCATTACTTACATTATAGAGTTTTTCCTTCTATGTAAGAAAGCTTATTTTATGAAATTAAAAAAACACAAGGTTACTTCTACGGAGTGATATCGTTCTAAAATTAGATGCAAATATTTTTAAGAATGAGATTATTAAATAGGAGTGTTTTTGGGAATTATTTTTATATTTTCCGGATCCACATGACATGAGCGTACGCAAAACAACATTCGTAGGAATTCACCATATTTGTGCGTGGTAGCAAAATGAAGAAAATAAAATAAATTTTAACCATTAGAACAATAACATTATTCTAGACATTATAAAATTATAAAGCCAACAAGTTCTTTCTTAGTGTTGATCTCGCACAATATTGTTACATCACTTTCACACTGTTTAATTAGAAGGATCGAGGAACAGATATATCACATCATGCGCACGAAAATTGACACATATTTAAATTTTAGTACTAAAAAAAGTGGCACAATTCATTTCTATCCTGAAAGGGTTAAAAAACGAAGGAAATATCGATAAGGAAGTCATTATCGTTTGTATGTACGTTCCATGAGGGGTCCCCTACCAATAAAAGCTTCATTGGATTGCAGTCTCAGACAAACGAAGACAAAAAGCTTTAAAAGGCCAAAGTCCCAAAGATGAAGAAGTGGGGAGTGTTGGCATGCTCTTGTATTGTGGTGTTCACATTAATTTCATGCAAAAACCTTCCACTCTCTCAAATACTTTGGTTTATTTTATTTTATTTTTCTAGCCTTGAAATGCTTAGTTTTATACAAGATATAAAGTTCAGGTGCCAATGCATTCATGGGTTGCAGCTGGCTGGAAAAGACAAGCCAGAATAAATTAAGGTGTGCACCCTCATTTGTTGATACTCATTTGAAGCCCACAAAGCACGGGCATGAAAATGTGGATAACACCACTTTTTATTTCAAATTGTATAATCTGTATGCATTACCCACAATAGTCAAACCCTTGCATGCTCTTTTGGAGATTCGAGTGTATGATAACTAATACATTTTGAGGAAACAAAAATACTAAAACTAAGACTAAGACCCAATGATTATGCTTCACAATTCTTAGTCCTTTCAAGTTGTAGTTATCTGTGTGCCTAGGAAGCTGTCTATATACAGGATTTACATTTTTTTTCCTTTCTAAACTGCTGTATGCTTTATTAAAAATAATCTTATTCGAAACTGTTAAGAATATTATAAGCGACAATTTCGTTATTATACTAAATTCACTTTTAATATTACTTGTGCTACTTAAATATGAAAAATATTGTATACATTTTTTTATTATATACATCTTATTTCATTTTAATTTTTACAAAACATTTATCTTTTAATATTCTATAATACTAGGTTGAAACATCAATCTCCGTTTCCTTTTTGGTCGTCCTCTCTCTTGATGAATATACATAATTAAAAGCCCCTGCTACTTGTTTATTTTATTATTTCCATAGGTAGTCATAGATTTATATTCTTAGAAAAGGCATCATTAACTTTGACATATAAAAATGTAATTAAATAATATTTTTCAATCACCATCGCGAACAATCAGCGATTGTATAATTTGCCCTTTACCAGAAGAATATCTCTTAAACTGAAAATCAATATCTTGATTAGTATCTATAAAAATGTTTTTAAGATATTGATTTGGCCTGCTGATCATGATCAAGACAAAATGTTCTCTCCCAAAAATAGATGAACATATTCTCCGGAGGAAGAAGTTGGGCACTGAAGCATTGTAGATGATGTAATAGAACAAGTATAAAATTAATTAAAGGAAGATTTAAAACATTTTGTTAAGAAGAACAGTTAAACACTGTTCCTTTATTGTTCTTTTTATTCGTTTAGGAGATATAGTGACTCTCCTCCGAAGAGCCGTCAAATTATATAGGAGGACATGGCACCATATGTTCCAATTCGTTTGTCACACATGGCGAAGAAGAAAAGCTTCTTCACACGGTACTTTTTTAAGTTCAAAATGTTAAAAAAATAGGGTGGGGAGGGAATCAAATATGCTCACGCCCCTATTTTTTTTTCATCGAATTAGGAAATTGCATAAGTTAGGCAAATGCTTTTATTTGATATGAATAATTGTATTATTAATTAACAATTATGACTCAGTGACTCACGTATGACTAGCAACAAAATGAAAGCTGAAAGCAAATAGTAGTTTTGCGCATGAGCAAATGATCCGCATTCTTGTATATCTTGTTACCCTGATTTGATTTGAATATAGAAATGATAGAAACAGACATCATCATTCTATAACATGGGAGGGGAAAAATCAGTGACTAATAGTGTGCTTGGGTCAGCTTCAGGTGTATATCGTAGCCAATATTTGTCGACAGTCCTTAAACCCTAAATCTAAATGTTAATAACGTATTCTTTTAGACATGTTTTATAATTAGCTTTATAAAATTAAATGTTTTTTTTTTAAATTAACAAAAAAAACGTATCAAAGTGTGTATTACTAATAATTTTTATATTTATAATTTATTTTTACAAGATAGCCAAGTAAAGTTATAGACCAAAATCACAACTAAAAATAATTTAAATTTAATAAATCGTCAGTTTTATTTTAAATTAAATTAACAGCAATTCATGTAAAGTTATAGACCAATAACAATGCGTCATATTTTTAATAAAATAAACAACAATGCATCAAGTACTAAATAATAATCAATAATATTTATAACAATAATAATTCAAGTTAAAAAAGTAAAATGGTAAAAATAAATAAATAACGAAAATCGGTTCTACATTTGTATTTAGAATATTAAAACAATTAATAATAGTGAAATGTTATTAAAACAATATTTAGTATATTTTGTTAACTTTAATAAATAAATATGTATTTTTTATAAAAAAAATATATTTATAAATGCTTAAATTTAGTTCTAAAAGTTGAATTTAACAAAACCATGATATAATAATATGAAACATAATAGCAATGACAAGGAAAGGGGCCTTGGAATTTTGTATATCATTAAATTTGAAAAACGCATGAACATTGGGCAAAGGCCTCTTCGTTTGAGACAAGCTGTATATCACAGAACAGAACCAATATCTTTCACTTGCCTTTGGTCCTTCAGAAAGTGCGGGATCTACTAATTAAAAAACAAATCTATCTCCAACCTATGCTCCTTTTTTCTAATATTTATAATCCTCAAGAGCTTAAATATCCTTCAAGTGGATGCTGAGTCTGTGCCAAAGAGGAAACCAAGTGGATAACAAGTTCGTGTGGAGTCAATGAAGGATTATTACTAATGAGTAATCACAAGGGTTTCGCAAAATCTCTATAAAAAAAATTGCTGTCCAAGGATTACCATTTAGAACTGTCTTCTCCCGACAGTTTTACTCAATGGCAAGCACCTTTTTATAAATATTAACTTTTTAAAATTTAATTACTAAATTTAATTTTTAATGAATTAAACTTATAAATAATTTTACAAATTATAAATTAATCAATACTTTATCAAGTTAATTTATTTAATATATAATATATATTTTTAAAATATAAACAAATGCTAATTATAAAATTACATAAGCTTACTTATTTATTCTTTTAGTCAGAGATCCCAGCAGGACTATCGTAGGACAGCCCGCCTTAATACTTATTTATATTTAATTTCTTTAAAATTTTAAATACTTAAATTGAAATTTTTATTTCAAAGTTTTATTTAATAATTAATAAAAATATAATAAAGGTGTCTTAATTTTAGGGTGAAATATTTAATTTTAGATGTGTTATTTAAAGAAAAAAAGAATAGTTTTACATTGTTATAACAGATATTATGCATATGAACAAATATCTTAACTAATCAGTTTTTTAGAAAACTTAGATTACAATCTTATTAATTTATTCTCTAAGGGCAAGATTTTGCAATCTTAACCGACTTTGTAGCTTATATTTTTTTATGGCATACTGTGCAGGTATTCTCATATCTTCTTGAGTAATATTACTGGTATTATATAAGGAAACATATCCTAGTTATGATAATTTATTATCATTTATACTGCATTCTTCTACAATCAAGGTGTAATAATTTTAGTAAGCCACGCCACGTCAGAACCCAAGCCCCGTTAGCCAACTATAAATACTTGTTCACTTCCGCTACGCCGTTGTTCACACTCGTAGAGTTGTAGTCCCTTCTCATTTGCTGTTTCATTGTCTGTTTTAAAGTTGTATAAAATTTATAAATAAAATTAATTTTAAGCTGTCTAAGATAATTAAAATACATGTATAAATTAATTTAAATTACATGTTTTGTTACTAAAATAACAAGTCCCTAATCTTTGATCATCTCATTTCATGATGTTCGTCACGCCAGCGATCTCAGCCTATTTTTAAGGTATGTCACGATTCTCCTGTCGCTACAAAGCTTGCCTCTTCTATCTGAATCCTGTTCTTCTTGCCATTTCCCTTTGTTTAATTCACCGCCATCTATCAATTTTCACCTACGTTCTCTACTCGATTCAAGTGTTATTGCTTTGTGTTCATTGTTAAGTTCTAATTCACATCTTCCTTTCACCGAGTCATACCATGGATTAAGAAAATATTTGTTGTTTTCGCCAACCAAGTTTATACTGGGAAAGAGTTTAATTACTCTCGTCCAGGGTCTGATAGTTTTGTTCAAAACATTGTGGTCTTCGCAATAAACTAGAGTTTCTCAAAAACCTTTTAAAACTATGATTATGACGAAAACAATCCATTTGTTGCAGCAGCGTGAATGTCGTAATGGAGACCGACGGCATGAAAACAAACCGTTGTAGCAGTAATAGTTCCTTACAGTACGAAGTTCCCCATGGCTACAGCATTGAAGACGTTCGTCCCAACGGTGGCATCGTCAAGTACCAATCCGCTGCTTACTCCAATGTAACTTCCCTTTCCAATTCACTCAATTTTAATCCATTAACATCCTAATTTTATTTCTCACCTTCGTTAATTTATTTTTGCAGTGCTTGAGGAAGCCATCCTGAGAATAAAATATCAGAGCATAGTTCTACTAATTTGCCTGTCATTTTAATTTCGCCTTATTCTATCTACATAAATATTATTTGAGATTTCGATCGTGCTACCATGATTGAGTGTGTCCCTCTGGACATCAACGTCAACAAACCACCCTCTCCGATTGGATTTGAAGGGTTTGAGAAGCGCATAGAGATTTCATTCAGCGAGCCACCAATTTTCAAGGACCCAAAGGGACTAGGGCTTAGGGCACTGACTCGGTCTCAAATCAACGCTATTCTGGAAGCCGCATGTTGCACCATTGTGTCTCATCTCTCGAATTCCGAATTGGACTCTTACGTGCTCTCTGAATCAAGCCTCTTCGTTCAACCATACAAAATCGTGCTCAAAACTTGCGGCACCACAAGGCTTCTCCTATCTATTAAACCCATTCTGGAACTCGCAGCCTCACTCTCGCTTTCTGTTTTCGCCGTCAAGTACTCGCGAGGGACATTTATTTTCCCGAATGACCAGCATGCTCCTCATAACAGTTTCATCGACGAAGTGTCGGTGCTAAATTACCATTTTGCCCATCTCCACGCCGAGGCCTATGTCATGGGCGATTCCACCTCTCCGAACGGCAGTTGGCACATTTACTCGGCGTGCATAGAGGGTGCCACGTCAGCGTTCAGGGGCTTGGGCACAGTGGAAATGTGCATGACGGGGTTGGATCGTGACAAGGCGCGCGTGTTTTACAAGGAATGGGGAAGGGGTAAAATGACGGAAATGTCCAGGGTTTGTGAGATTAATCCGAGTCACGTGATATGCGACTTTGAGTTTCATCCGTGCGGGTACTCAATGAACGGGATAGAGGGTGGGGCGTTCTCAACGGTGCACGTGACACCGGAAGATGGGTTCAGTTATGCGAGCTATGAAGCGGAGGGGTTGGAGTCGGAGTCGATTGATTTGGGAACAGTGGTGAGGAGGGTGGTGGAGTGTTTTGGTCCCGCTGAGTTCTCGGTTGCTGTCACGTGCAACGGAGGTGCTGAGGGGTGGGCCATGTCGAATGCTGACGTGGAGGGGTATTGGTGCGAGAACGTGGTGAAGCAGGACTTGCCAGGGAAAAGGTGCATTGTGTATCTGACTTACTCGGCTATGGGGAGAGGGGGCGCAATGCGCACGCCCCAGAAAGCTATCTTGTAGATGGTGGAGGAGGTTGTGGTTTCTACGTGTGTCACATCTGCTTAGCGTATAGCTGCTCCAGCCAGCCATCAACCTCTCCTTTGTATCGCGTCCTTTTGTTCGATGGTCCCTTTTGTGCTTTCTGCAGACTCCTCCTTATATCACAATCATTTTGTAATAATTAACCATGAAATGGACCCTTTTCGCTCTTGGGATTTTTATTAGATTTTCCAATAATTCAGCCTTCGCCATTTTTTTTATATTCCATTGTGGAGTTTAGTTAGTATGAGAATCAAAATTATGGTCATATTTTTATTTATTTACATTTTAGTTTTAATCTATTATATTCCCTTATTTTAAACCAATAATAATTAACAAATTAATTAAATGTAATCCATTAAAATTATATATACTGTTAAATTACTCATTTAAATATTTATTATTACCAAATTAGCTCATCAATAAAATGCCCAAAAAAAAACTTGACAAACAAAATTAATAATAAATTAAATCTCTTAAAAATACTTAAAATAACGTTATATTATTCCTTGTGTTAGGGTAGAAATCAACTAAACTGTTTATTTAAAAAAAAAAAAGACGCCTACAACCTTCTTTCCATCAAGCTAAGGCTACACCAAGCAAATTTACAAATCAAGTTAAACGATTTTTTCAAAGAAAAAATTATTCAAATGACAATAAAATATTTATTTATTTATTTATTTATTTTTAAAACTTTTAAGTCTGATATACTATTTTAAAAATACCAATATCAGACTTAAAAAAACATTTAACTGAAGCAAAAATCGATAAAACGAAAAAAAAAACTTAAATTGAACAAAAATCACTTAAAAAAAAGACATACACGTTTAATACTCGTATAAACCGAAAAAAAGAATTTAAATTCTAACACTAAGAGTATATTTGATTTCTTTTTTAAAAATAAATTTTAATATAAATTTATATTGTATTTTATTTTTTAAAAACAGAAAACTATTTTTAAAAAAGAAATCAAACATATTCTAAGACTTACAATATTATATTGTATTTATATCATAATAATTTTAGCCAATAAATCTATCAGTTTGCTAAAAATTCAAATCTATTAATTTACATATAAATTTAAGTTTATTGAAATTTACAGGTGCTTTTATAAAGTTATTTAAACATTTTAGTTATTAAACAGGTGTTTTTAGTTAGATCAATTAAAATCATAGCATGTTAAATTTTATACAATTCATTTTATCAAATACATGGAAGGTTAAGAAGTTGTTTAAAAAAGTTTATTATTAAATTTTATCATTGAGTTCAAGAGATAAATTACTATTTTAAAAACAATTTATTGACTAAATGATTTAATAAATAGTTATTTTAACGCACTCTAAATTAAATGAGTTATTTTAAATTTACGTACAAAATATCAAATATAAAGATATAAATAAATTTGATTAATATGATTTTTAATATATATATATATATATATATGTATGTTAAAATATACAAAATGATAATATTATTAACTACAATATTTACTATTTTTTAATGTTTTAATTTAAAATAATCATATAATATCATTTATTTGAAAAATAATTTAATGATATATGTGTAGCGAATGAAAAAAAAATACTTATTGCTTTAGTAACACATAAAAATAATACAAATGTAAATAACACAAAATTTTAATTAATAATGTTAAAATAAATAAAAAATATTATAAATAAAAATTTATTATTTTATTTAAACTAAAATAATTTATAAATATAAAAAATCTTAATCAATGGTAGATAAATTTTTATTCTTTCACTTTATACATTTTTTTATTTTAAAAGAGTTACATTTAATTTAAAACAGTATCATTGAATTATAAATTGACATATCAATAGAAGTAAAAATTATTAATTTTCAATATAATTAATATAAAAACTATACTTACAGTATATTTTAATTAACTAATGATATAAATATTTGTATACTGACAAATTAAAAGAAAATTTAGAACTAAACTCTCTTAAAATTTAATTCAAGCATACTGGACACTTGGTTTTAAACATTCATAAACATTTTAAGATTCAATTATCATTACTCGTTAGAAAGTGATTGAAATTAATCAATTTAATTATTCAATAAATATTCGTTTAGTGTTATTTTTCAATAAAATACCCCAAAATAAAGGAAAGAGAGATATGAAGTTTGGGAAATGATGGGTGTCAGTTGGAAGGAACTTTTTCTATACATATCCACTGTAGAGTTTATTTATTTTCTAAACACTGTAAAACATTACCATTGTCCGTTGGTTTACTCGTACTGCTGCACCTTCATCTGTCATTTAACATGTTCCCAATTCTTTTGTTTCTTTTTCTATTTTGCCGTAAATGGTGCCTGCCCTGCTTCTGGACCTTAGCTTTTGTAGCCTGCAGCTCAATTTCATGTTGCTTTAGATGAACCAGCTGTACCAGTATGATTCACCTCTTCCACTATAAGCACAGTAAATTGATAATGTCAGCGTATTTTATTGTTATTATTATTATTTCCCATCATAATTTGGCCCTCTGCTAGTTGCTACGAATTATAATGCTGCTCCTCATCATGTTCAAATTAAAACAAGGGAACATTGTTTAAAATATTGGAGATAAATGAAGGTATGTAACAAATAGACTTGTTCTTTCATTTTCCAGAATAAAGGAGACAAAGCAATAGCTGAAAATGTAAGATAATGTAGCAGGTAGTAGTTAGGTTTCTTATTTCATGCGTAGCTGAAAATTGCACGAGCACAGGAAAAATGCCATTTTACTATGAAGTTTGGAATCAATTTGAATTCAGTGGCATTGTAATTGATCCAGAACGGGGCAATCAGCTAGTGTTTTGTTATGTTAGGCATGTCTCACATTAATTAGAAACAGAGACAGCAGAATACTTTTTATAAGGATTAGGACAATCTTCCTCTTATAAATTAGCTTTTAAGAATGAGTTAGGCCTAAATTTTTTAACATAGTATTAGAGCTGGCATAAAACTTGCACTTTGCGTTAGTGATTAGGTCTTGAATATAGTTTGTTACATTGATAATTTAATGTTATGTATTATGTTACTTCTAAGAAAGAGGACTGTTGCAGGCACACACCTGCAGGTTTTTCATCAATAGTATTTGATTGTTATGAATAATTCTATCACGACGTATTGTGAGAAAAATACTACTCTTTCCTTGTTTGTTCAAATATAAAAGTATGCTTTCGGATATTGAATGAACATTTATGTTTCAGTGTTGATGGTTGTTTTATTTTTCTCACTAATTACCTTTCTATAACTTATCTGCTTCCATCTTTTGGAAAAGAAAAATATTATTAACATACCTTTTAGTACCCTCAGAAACTCTCTCATGTGATTGCATCCGGAGAGGATTAAAATTTCTCTTACACACTCTAAGGCTGTGTTTGTATAGAACATTTCAAAATTCTAACAGTTTATATATTTAGATAATAAAAAATTAGTTTTAGAATGCTGCAAAATTTTAATTATATAAATTTCAAATAACTTGTTTTTAGAAAAAAATTTAAAATATTTCTCCATTATACTTAATTTTTTATATTAATCACTTAATCCTTGTCATAATTGATTCTCATTTTAAATATCCTTCATTATTACATTCATATTTTTTAAAATGTTAAAATTCTTCTTTCAATCCCAACTTAAAATTTTTCATTAGAGCAACTCTTTCGACAAAGTTTGGTTGCAAGGAACAATTTTTAAGATAAGGTGTGGTTGCTTAAGAGTAAAATGCCTAAGTTGTACAACTTGACCCCAAAATTTAAAGTAAAAATGAAATAATATTTAAGTTGTATGATTAGAGAGAAGTGTTGCTTAAATTTTATATATATGAAATGTATTTAATGAAAAGAACATTAAATTTAGACCATACAACAATACACGAATAGTTAAGATTAAAAGTTTAATAATAATCACGTAACTGCTTAAAAAAAAAATTAATGCTCTCATAATTTTACAATGACATGTATTTATAATAACATATAAAAATTATAATTTTAAAAGTTAAGCAACTCTAGAAAAAATCAAGATGCTCTTATTGACTCAAATTTATTATAATTTGGGAAATCACACGTCTCATTCTACTGTGATGAGTCTTATAAATGATTTGTGATATTAAACAAATTTTAATTAATAAAAAAGTGTCATAGAATGTGTTATACATATTTTTCTCTAAAAAAAAATGTCTGTATTAATTTATTTAATATTTTTATAAACATCCACCTTGTAAAACAAGTGAAATAAATTATTTTAAAATAAACAATTTACTTTTTAAGATAATATTTTTTAATATCTTTCACACCAACTTTGATCATTGATTTTAATGAAACCGTTAAACTAATAACAGGTATCATCTTCCGCTAGTACTTCATTGTATAACCAGCACGCTAGACAACGAGAGCAAAACGAAAATTCTTGATTGCTGGTCTTCGGGCTCTATGTTTGGAATTTTTAATTTGAAAAATTACAAAAGAAATTTTGTATTAATCTATTATTTTTTATTTTGAAAATTGTAAAATAGAGAATATATTTTCCTTCTTTTCTTAATACCCAACTCTCGGTCTAAACCTGAAACTGCAGCTACTTAGAAAAGCTGGTGATGTACATAATTTCTAAAGTAGAAGGCATGCATGATTAGCAAATTATGATCTCCCTAATATAATTGGTTCTGCGTTAAACTCATTCACAAATGGATTCATTTTAACTCTACAAATTATGTAACTTTTCTTGGAATGTGATTTTTTAGATTTTCAAACATGACTTACTGTAAAAATTCTAATGGAGTCGTGGCACATTTACAGAGATGTTCTCGATACAAATTGTTGGTTTTCTTCTTATTAATCTAGCAAACATTTTTTGGCTACAATCTACAAGTCACGTGGCCTCACCTGACTCCAAAATTAAAATTTGTCAATGCTGAGACAACATGGATCTTTATTACAAGTCCAAAATGGAAACAAAAGGAGAAGCAGGGTGCGAGCTCATTATGTAGACGAGCTACAAAGTACATATAATTTATCATTTGATGGGATCATGCGACCAACCGTACCCACTTGTTTCCTTACGATCAAACTTTGCTTATAATAATTTTAAGAGAGTTTCACTTCATAATTTGTGTAAATTCACGGGTTAACAGAGTTCACTTCGATTTCTGA